TGAAGCAACAATACCTAAGCCAACAAATGACTTTGAATCTTTCTCGAAAAACAGACAGACATACACGCAAATTTACACACATAAATGCATATCTGTAAACGTACAAAGTAACATGTATGGGACTCACAAATATGTTAAAATTTATTTAGATATTGTGTCCAACCAATATTGGATCGGCATAACGTTTTATGTACCGTATAGAGGATTTTCTTGGCGGGTGTAAAATTTGGCGTTTTGCCTCCTAAAAGGTATGCCAATAATTTTTGCGTAATTTATTTTAGCGGACCAAGGATTTCATCTCTTTGCAGATGAACACTAAAAAGTCTAAGTTAGCTGTTACAAGTAACTGACTGTTTTAGCTATTGAAATTTTTAGACGAAAGCCATTAAAACGCCAAAATAAGTTAAAATTAACTAAAATAACCCACTATACGGTATGTGACGTTTTAGTTTAAATGCTCTTTTTTTGTCCATGAATTATTATCCTGAATAAGGGAAAAAGGGGCAAAAAATAAATTCAGAGATATTGAACCATTTTACATATTTGCAAATTTTATTCTTAATCGTTTGTCAAGGCAAGAAGATACAATTACTTGATTATTTTATTTGTTTTGTGTGTCATCACAGCCACGCCACCACAGCCACGCCGCCACGCAGCATCGATTATGTTGGGACAGCCAGAGCAAACCTTTTTTTTACTTTCCTGAAGAAATAGACTAGCAAAAAAAAGGAATTGCCCAAATTCGAAAATCCTATTTCGTGATGGTGGTGGTGTGTGTGTGTTGGGGGGTGGGGGTGATTAAGGCCAACTTTTTTCCAGTGTCAACTTCTTTTTTGGTATTGAACATTGCACTTCCCTGTTATTTATCTGATGAAGTACCTAGAGTATTAAGTGGGGAGCCCAGCCAGCTTTTCATTGTACATTCTCTTTAGTTAAAGTTATGTTCAACTTGGGTATAAAAAATCCCCTAATGTTGCTACTTTTCTGCATCAGAAGCATCCAATTGCAATTAAATGCAAAAAAGGATAAAGTTCCAATCCCCAAAACCCTCACTGTAAAACATTTTTCAAACGTAAAGCATGCTCCTGCATATCGAATCAACTGAGATCTATAAACTCAGTATGCATGCAGGTGATGAAGGTATATTGCTGCATAGGTAAGGGAAATTGACGATAGAAAAGTTAAAGTCATCACGTTTTTCATTGAGCTTGGTTGCTAGATTACTATTATCGTCTTTTTAAGTAAAATATTCAAATATGAAACAGATGTGTCTGTTGTATTTTTTTTCCCAAGCTAACTAGGATATCTCGTGTCGACATAAGAATGGAAATTACCATTATTGACAATACGTCGTCGATATATATTTAAATGTCGAGTTGAAGGCCACAGCAAGTGTTTTCTTCTTTTCACGCATAAAATTTTTCACAAATTCTGCTTCATATGAATACAGAAATAGGTCTGCTAATAATGGGACCTCAAACAACATGCCATCAATCAATAAATAGCATATCTAAAAAATCCTGCATATTCTACGAATTTTTAAACTTCTACAGGAAATTTAGGACGTCACGGTAGCTCAGTACTTGGAGCACTTTCTCTATGATCGGGGGGCAGTATGTTCGAACCAACGCCCCGAGTGACCTAGACCAATAAAAAAGGTAGCTCGTATTAACTTACTGAGAAAGAAAACATATGTCATAACATACAATATCGCATTTCGGCTACTACTGAGCTCGTATTGTGAAATTTAAGAAATATAAATTTGAATGTTTTCATCATGTCAACAATCAAGTACAATATTGCAAACAAAAAGAATTTCCTACACTCAATGGCTTATTTAAACTGTCGAAACTGCTCCGTTGTATTACCTTTTAGGTCATACGAGATGTTCCTAAAAAATGTTTTGTATATCTTTGTAATGTATGAAAAATATTCAAAATCTTAATAACACTCTGATCTCTAAACCAGTTTCTAAACGTTTTTATTTCTGTATATATATTACATATATAATATGACATATTATACGGCACCTTCATCATTTGACTTGTAAGAATCTTTCTACCCAGTCCCAGCATGTGCAAAATTGTTGTCAATGAACTTTTTAAAGTGCATCAGTTTTATGTCTAACTCTGAATTATACTCATCTGTCTCAATGATTTCATTCTCGATCTCCTCCTCAGCTGTCTTACTCAGTATTTGCTCATCCAAATTATTCATCAAACTTCTCTTCTTCATCAAGTCCTCGTAAACTAACAAGAGAACTTCTTTGGAACATTCTTCGGATCCTTCATGTCTATTTAATTTCCTTGAAACAGCGCCTCTGTTTCCTGCCCTGGTGGCTTTAAGTTATTTACATGGTAACAATATACAATACAAAGCAGTCAATGATGTCATTACTATTATGACGTCATCACGATTGTCACGTCATAATCCAGGAATGTACACTGCACATTACATGTTCATTGTTATAGAATTTATAACACAAGCATTGGCCAATTTTTTTTGCTAATCTGTGGCCAAATAAATATAAAATGGCCACAGATTAGCAAAATGTGTAGACCATTTCATTATCTGAATATTTATTTTAATCAAAATGTGCTTTATCATAATTTACCTACACTTTTTCTACAAGGACAAAAAGCACAGTCAAACACTCGTTTCTTTTGATAAATCTACAGTAATTAGAACTACTGTTCTTTTTGATTACTGCGTCTTAAATATCCACTTAAAGTAAATTTAAATTAACTTTTTACTCTTTCAATAAAACCCTTATCTCATTATCTTACCATTATTTATTTAAGGTCATACCACAAGTTTCTCAAATACATATTTTTTTATTGATATTATATGAAACTAATACATGATTGCCATTCTTTTGTGATTTCTACGAGGGTTGTTCGAAAAGCTTGCGGACACATGAATCACGGAAAATCTGTGTACCGTGAAGTATGACCTACGTCTGAATAAATTCCTAAAATAAAAAAAAGTTTTGTTTCTGTTTGATTTTTACTATGAGGTCATTGGATTCACGGAGCAATCACTTGACGTTAGGCGACGTGACAACCAGATTTCAACCCGTTAAATGTTGTCCAGTTCCATAAATATTTCATTTCTTCAAACTTATCTTATCTTATTATTTTTTTACTTCAAAATCGAATATCTATATCAAGACTTGTGTCTTTTGCACTGATTCGGATTGTACTGATTCGAATATATTGAGATCTTTAAAAAGTCTATGCAGATAATCGATCAGGAATGGAAAATATGAAAAGCCATATAGGCATGCGATGAGGTATTGAAGTATCGACAGAGTTAATCATTCAAAATGTTAATCATTCCATTCTGATAAAGCTACAACCATTTGAAAACCTTATCCTTTGTATGTGTAGGAAATTCCCTGCAGTATTTTGAATATCTTAATCTCTTTTTAGACATTCATTTTCCTGTCTGCACGCATAATTTTTACGGAGTGCAGTGCGCCATGATGTTTGATGACGTTCCGATTTTTGGCTGTGTTTTACGCGTTGATCATTTAGAAATGACTAAAAAAAACCTTCACATACCTTCCTACAGTGTATTTTATTTGAAATTTCTCCCAATGACGTTTCATGAATACTTTAGCGACAGGTAAAATATCATAAATCTCTTTGTGCTACAATTGTGCAATTTTTAGTTTTAGTAAAAAGTCTCTGTGATTTAAACGTGAAAAATGTGGCATACTCTGTGAAGCAAGTTTTAACAAAATAGAAATGCTGTATATTTTTCAATGATCACTGGGGAGCACAAATTTTTGTATAGTTATTGGAAAATAAATCAAGATTTTATCCGAAAGGTTTGACCCTTTTCTTGGAAATAGCGCGCTAACAACAGAACTTGTCCGTGAACTTTACTAACATCCCTCGTACATTGTTTTCAGTATGTTTAAGATATAAGTTAAAAAAAGTGTAATGTAGGCCATCAGAAGATCACCCATAAGTGTTATACAAGATATATCATCCTAATATGGTATCTTGTACAAATAGCTGGTAAGTTACCCTAATTCCTGTTAGATAAGTTGAATAAGTTCCTAGACTTCAATGACCGATTCGCGGAAAAGATTTTATATTTTCGAGGAATGTGTCATTAAGATCTGACCTTAACATACGTGTAGTGCATATTTGGCATGATTGAATAAATTCCTGAGTCAACGAAAGAAGCTTTAAAAAACACAAAGCTATCATAAACGGCGACGTTCTGAATTCTCTTTAAAAAAAACTGATAAACATCAGGGAAATCCCTTGGACACCCCTTTTAACGCAAAAACATATCTGAAAGAAGATCGCTAGAGAGTTGCAATTTTTTTTTGTTATCGTAATTGAGTTAGTTACGTCATTCTGCTTTCAGGAGTTTTCGTTCAACGGACGATAAGAAATAAGGGCAAAGGGGTTGATTTTTATTTTGACTTTATTAAAACTAAGAGACTCAATACATTATACATATAAACAGTCAGTTAAGTCAGGTGAACATTTTATATGAACAAAATTGATAAAGTATTAAAAATATTAAATTAAGCATTGATACAAAAAAAAAACATTAATCAATCCAATAGTTTATTTCTGAATCTCTTTGCAAAACATATAATAATATTCTCAAAGTTTACACAGTTCCTTTGAATTTGAGCTGATCGACACTTGTATTAGAATATAAATGCTTGGGCGGCATATTTTTCATATTTTACGCATTTAAGTATAAAATGAAATCCATCAATTAAATCACACCCTGAGAAAAAATCACATTTTTTAAAATTCCTCGGTGTATCATTACATCTTCCTTTTTCAGTTCACAAGTTTTTAGGCTTGATTTGATGAAGATATAGTCCACGATGTTTAACAAAGAGTTATGGCCATAACACATGACTGTCCAAGACCAATCAGATAATAACGTGTTGTTTAATTATGACGAAGAATGATAGACTGTTTCATTAATAAGATAGCGATTGCACAGATACTTGCTCACGAAAAATGGCAGAAGTCAAGAAAACACTTCATGATCCTAAGATTATGAGAACCTTACCTGGAGGATATCATTCTATGCACTGCCTCAGATTCGCTAGTAATAGTAAGATTTTCGTTAGTTCGCCTGTGTCATTTGATATCAGACTCATGCATACAGACGAAACATTACCCACCACTTTTCGGACGAAAAATTCGCCCAGATTTTTGACACCATTTGAAGACGGTGTATTGTATACAGGCAAAAAAGGAATCAGAAAAATTGACAGAGAAGGCGATAGGATATTTTTAGAAATTGAGGGGGGTTTGAGAGGCCTTCAGTATGTTGGACCTAATACCATATTTATCTGCAAGTCTTCCCATGTTGAAAAGTATGCTACTTCAGGGAAGAAACTTTTAGAAATTAAACTCGACGACCCAGGAAAGCGAAATGATAGAAACCTTCAAAATATCTCAATAAACGGAAATGGAGATATTTGTGTGGCAGAGTACAGCGAAGCCGACGAAGCCAAGAACTATGCCCCTTCACTAACTGTCGTTGATAAGTACGGAAAATACCGTTTTTCATACTTTCCTCAACCTTCTGGTAGTCCAATGGATCTCTGCTGTGACTTGAGCTACCATATTATCATAGCTTCCAAATTAATTCACGTGATAAACAAAGATGGCTACTTCCTTAGATATCTGAACTACGAAGGAGTTCAAGAGCCTTGTAGTGTAACTATTGACAGTGAGGACCATCTGTTCGTTTCTCAGTTGGATGATACTAGTGTAAGAATGATGAAATATCTGTGCTATTAAGTTTTCTTACTTTTTAAGTACAAAACCAGTGAGAAACTCTAAATAGTGAGTATTTGCTGATTTATTTAAATTCAGATAAAATTAATTATACCATCACACTTGTACATAGTGATATACTCATACATTACATACAACAAATGCACAATCATAATTTCGATTTTTTTTTTGTATTATTTGCATCATCATTCTAATGTGTTGTAATTTAAAATATGTTTTAATTTTAAATTTGTATTATCTCTATTCAGAGCAAAGTAAAACTTAACATTACTTTGTTTTCACTGTTTTAAAAATGTAAACAAAATTTGTAACTTTTATTTGCAAATTGGGAATTCGGACCAGACATTTGAGTAATGAAATTAAGTAGTACCGATGAATGGAATATTTTTATGTCAGTTTATGCAAATGTTGTTTTGGACAGCGTTTTAAAAATGTTAAATTTGGTCAAGTATGATGACTTTGGACACGTCTTAAAATAGAATTATTAAATGAATTCTAAAATTGGCAGTGGTTAAATTGCTTGTTAGTGTTACGAAAAACTAATCATATTCTGACCACGTGTATTTAAGTCACATTTAAATTTTGTGGCAAGAAGATAAAAAGTTATGTCATTGCGTCAGAAACCGTTCTGGATATTAAATGGCCGAGTGTGCCCTGACAAATTTAATTGCAGTTTCTCCAAACTAATACGTTCGCTTCGTGATCGGGAGGGCCGGGTTCGAATGAGATTCTCGTTCGCGGCGCTGCGTCATACCTAAGACGTAAACAAAGGTAGTGACTGTTCTTTCGCCAAGCGCTCGGCACTAGAAGTGAAAGTCACGGGTCTTTCGGATATGACCTTAAAAACGTAGGTCTCGTATCACGGCAGGCGCTGGCACGATAAAGAACCCTCACTGCTCAATGGCCCTGAGTGCCGAGTATAGGTATAAATTTGAAGCCCTTCACCGGAATACGGTGACGTCTCCATATGAGTGAAAAATTCTCAAGAGGGACGTTAAACAATAATTTCTAGATATTTCCAGAGAAATATTAGCACTATAGATTGTGTTAGATATGACATAGGAATAATGAAATCTATATTCAAGCTGAAAAAATAATATAACATTTTGTTTTCGTGTTCAAAGTGGACTTTTACGAGAAGCACTGACTTTTACAGTTGACTATTTACTTGGACATTTAAACATTTACATCTACGGAGATACAGAATTGATAATAGAAAAGAATAACTTTCTAATGTAATGGTTATGGTGTTCGGGGCACTTGTAGGAGGAGGACTGGATTTAAGGGTAGAATGGTTGTCGTTTCTTCAATGACAGCTTAACTCTGCTTTAACTCTGCTTTGAAGTAGCCCGTTTTTTTTCGTTGAATTAAATGTTGAGCTACATTATAATATCGTAAAAGAGCTTCCATACACTGTGAAAGTAATTCGTCATCTGTAAAAGTCAGCGCTTCTCGTAAAGGTCCACTATGATCATTTTGACTGAAATCCTTATTTTTTTTTTTACTAATTTTCTAGATAGAGACTTAAAAAAGATAGCAAATCTTTGACACAGGAACAGGTACCCATTGCTGATAATTGTCATCTTCATTGTCAATGATTGATTGATTGATTATATATTGTTTAACGTCCCTTTCGAGATTTTTCACTCATATGGAGACTCCATCACTTGCCGGTTTAGAGCTGCATTTTCTTTCCTATTTTCGAAACTAAGGGGCCACCGAGCAGTGAGGGATTTCTTTTCGTTCCAGCACCTACTTCAACACAGAACCTCTGTTTATACGGTCTCATTCGAAGGATCGGTCTCCAGGTTCCGAAGTGGGATTCGGGCCAGCGATGCAAGAATCAACTCTTTACTACTTTATAATAATAAAATAAATTATGAACACTTCACCAAAGAATAATAAGCAATGTATCTGATAAGCTCAAAATTTTAAACTATTGTGAACGTATTTATGTCATTGTTCTACGGACTGTAATTCTTTTTTTTTTTCTTTCTTGTCATTTGTGTAGTTTTTAATATAACAAAAAAACTAATGTGAGTAAGTGAGTGATGACATTAACTCCAAAATATTGAAACAGTTTGTTCAAAATGCAGTCATAATTTGTAAATACCGGTAATTTTCAAGATGAACTTTCACGGACGTCATTTTTTTCTGTGAAGGTTGTGATAGGTTATCTGATTATGGAACAAAATGTCAAAAGATTTTAAATTTTTCGAAAGGGAGAGATGAATAAAGAGACAGATTCAATGGAATATGTTTATGATCGTATGACACTGGTGAACTCCGGTGTATCAACTTGCTCGGATTTGCCATGCTACATTCGGTTTACTAATGTATTTCTTATTTAGATTGATATGCATTATTTATTTAGAAATCGCTAAAGATGACGAGATACGTAAGTTTTTAAAAAATAGGACCTTTTTTCATTTTGCCCAGAGAACATCAAATTACATGGACAAAATTAATCGTCTTTCCATGATCTCCCAAAGCAACGCCGTCGGGGAGAAAAGTAAAATTGGAATTTGCCCGTTAATCCAAAATTGAAAAAGTTTAACTGTTTACATTCTTATTTTCACAAGCAATATATTGTAACATATCATCCTTGTAATCCAAAATAAACTTTACATTCAGGCCTATTTGTGAACCTTTCAATCCGTAGTATACGAATATCATATCAAATTTGAAGACATCTGTGTCAATGTTTGGACCCCAGCAAGAAGTATTTTGGCATATTATTGATTTAAAATGTAATGATATCTAAAGGACGATAAGAGAACATTTTTCCTCAAAGTGGAGAAAATCAAAGCTGTTATTTCCTTTCCTTTTGAACGTTCACTGTAGCTCAGTCGGTAGAGCGTTCATTCCGCGATCGGGAGGTCGTGAGTTCGTATCTCGGCTGCGACTGACCTAGTCAATAAAATAGGTAGCAACTGTTCCTTCGCCATACGCTCGGCACTTTGAAGTGAAAGTTGCGGGTCCTTCAGATGGGACCTTAAAAACCAAGGCCCTTTGTCAGCGGCAGGCATTAGCACGATAAAGTTTCCTCAATGCTCAATGGCCTTGCGTGTCGAGCAACGGTCAAAATTTGAAATCCTTCACCGGCATACGGTGACGTATCCATATGAGTGGAAAATTCTCGAGAGGGACGTTAAACAATATACAATCAATCAATCAATCCTTTCCTGTTGTTCTTGAGTTTCTGCTTTACAGCAGCAGCATCGTGAGAAATATTTTATCAACAATTCACAAATAAATCTGCTGAATGACTATAAACGTGCAAAAGTTGTTGTTTTCATAAATGGGATGATTATTTCTACACTCTTTGAGTTTTCACTTTCATAATAGAAAAGTGGTTCATAGCTCGAGTATTTATAGTTCAATTTTAAGAAGCGCATATTACAGTTCCTACCAACAAATTTATTAAAGATCTTAAACTTCATGCAAATCCAAAGAATGTAAAGATAAAATAAGACAAAAATTGTTTTTAAAAAACACACAACAACTTCCCAATGAATGTTTAGACGTTTTATAGCGTGTTTAGATTAGATTTCAATTAGAAATTTAATGGAACATGTCAATCGGTATGACTACCTGTAGGTGGATAGGTAATACTGACATAAGCTAAGGATTTTCACCGACTAAAATCACGAAAGAGCAGAGAAGCTGGGCTTTGTATGTTTTTTTTCATACATGTATCTTTCTGGTACGTGGCTAGGTTATTCTGTGGTATTTTAAAAGCTTGCGAGTTTTTTTTCAGCATTGTATGTTCAAAGTACAATGAGATCTAATGAAGTGGAAATCTATAAATTTTACTGTAGACTGTTCGATACCTAATATTTTGAGATATGATGCACAAAAAAATGAAGTCATTAAAAGTCTTTTGAGTTAGCCTAAATGCATAAGTCCGCGTAACAGAAACTGGAAAAATTGTAAATAAGCAGCATACGTAATTTCCATATGTTATAGTCAAATCATTTCATGACACACAGATATATGGGCAGGTACGAATCGACGTTGTACTGCAAATATTAAATTATTTTTCCTTCTTTCCGTAAATAGCGTATTTTGATAAAGGGTATTTAGATTTTATGTATAAATATGATCCTAAATATATTGCATTTTATGCCAGTTTGTAATGTGGACAAATATTATGTATCAACCAGTATAAAGCCTCAATACCTACATTTGTATGTACAGGGTTGTTCGAAAATTTCGTGAACTTCTGTCATATTTTTTTATTTAACGTCACATGTTATCTAAATTTGGAAGGAAAACGTTCAATAAAAAAAATTGTTTTAATTTTTTTAAAAAAATTATCACAATTCGTTCAAAAGTTATCCAGATTTTAATAACGCAAAAACTGGATCGCGGAGTAGGTCAAAATTTAGTTACATACAATACACTAAAATTATGTATGCAGTCATTTTCTCTGTAAAACGGAGCAAAAACGAAAAACAACCTAGAAACTCAAATTGAGAAATGTTTCATTGATTCATATTTCAACTCATGGCGTAATATTTTGCCTTGTTGAAAAGAAATCAATTTGAGAACAGAGATAGTCCTAATTGAAAACGACAAAAACGATGACATTTTAGAACGTCACGGAGCAGTTGATTACGATGCAGTTTTGTGTTTTACTTAGGAAAAATCCTGAATAAACTTTAAAAAGTTAGAGGAATCAAGAAAATGTGTCATAAGCGAGTTGTGCATGTCTCTACAAATAGAACATGCAGTATATGAGTGACATAGAGCCTATGTATCGGATGAAGACGAATCTACGAAGAAACGATTTTACTGCAAAAATTAATCTAAATAATAACTTTGAAAAGTTGGAACGTCAAGGAAAACATAAGCGATTCGGAGTTACTTATCCTGTGAAAGCAGAGTTAAGTTATAAAAGGAAATAATTAAAACCTTAACAAAGGAAATTATATAACTTGAGCAATTCTTGAATGATAAATTTCAGGTAT